GTTTTCTTATTCCCATCCTATACCCATTATAAAGATCAGAAATTCTAACCTTCGCATGCTGGGAGTCATCAAGTCGAGTCCGTTTCCTCTGAATTGAAGGTTGAGGCGAACGAGATCTCCTATCCCGTCTGCCTTTCTGCTCAGGTTTTTCCTCAAACTGCATATTTTCAACCTCAGAGCTTAGGAGAGGAGGTGGTTCAGCTGCATTCCTCACAAGTCCTTTCCATTCTCTGTTATGTCTGCTCTTTTTAGACTTTCCCTTTTCAGATTCAGAATCCAATTGACGAGAGTCATGAGTCCCAGCATGGTCCCCCAGTATAGATGTTTTGGATGGTTCTTCAACATGACATTCCTGATGCTCCACATAGGTATCCAGATTTGAGGACAAATGATCCCACAACCTGCGCAAAAGAAAGTGAACAATGGATAAAGAATCATCAGCTTAGAATGAGTTGGAGTTGGAGATAACTTGTGGACCCACTATTTTCTATATTCAATTCCTGTGAAATTAGAACAACAATCAAATAAGAACTTTCTTCAAAAAGAAAAAGATGATAACCAATTTACCAGGAAACAAAAGAGTCGCTGTCGTTTCCAAGAAATACATTCAACTCGTTCCTAGCCTCTTCTTTCCGCCTCCCATTTTTTAGTAAGACAATCACATATTCCTGCCAAAAGACACCAAAAAAAACATTGGGAAATTCTTAGCTTTAAATCTTATTCTTATTTGAGATGCTCTAAACATGTTAAAAACTTTTGAACAGAACATCTATCTAGGATTGTATGACATGAAAATACTAAACACTACATTAAGTGGCAGTTTAACCCAAATGTTCAGAACCCTGTCCTTGCTTGCTAAGTTACTTCAAGTCAGAAAGCAAATTGTATCTTAGTAGCATACAATGGAAATAACAAAGAAAGCAAACACGTACAAAGACCAGGACAAATAGCTTCAAAAAACATATTAATACATTTCCCTTCAAAAAGAGATAAATTGGCCCCAGAAAAGCATATAAACTAGCTCTAGATACTTTCCAAACTAGGGCCAAAACAACCATATATCAACAATCTCTGCAATCCAATATCACAGAAGGATCATGCTGTCAAGTCCAGGTTCAGATACTATCTCATGCCACAAAGCTTACTAAAAACCTAAAAGGAACTACAATCTGAACAAGAGGACCAGAAAAACGATAAAACCAATTTACCGCACGGCTTGCCTAGAATAGTAACCACCAATAACCAAATTTTTGAAACCCTAAAATGTTCACTCCGGAACTAAATTATCACTTCCAAACACAAAATAATGGAAGGATCAATGAAACAGTTCACACAAAACATTATAACGTGCAAACCACTGAAACAAATAGAAAACAAAAAATACGATTGGAAGACGAACAGAAACAAAACCGTACCACAAGAGTATCATCAGTGTAATCCCCCATGAATTCCTTCAGTTTATCCCTCACTCTCTCTCTCAACTTGGTTGCTCCATCGCCACTGAAATTAACCCTAAATGTTCGATCATCAACTCGTTCTACGCTCCCCATCTCAAACAATTCCCTCAAAAAGCAAAAAGTAACCCTACTCCCCCCACAAAAAATCCACCAAAACAAAAAGAAATAAATGAAACAATCAATATCCTCTAAATCGCGATCCTCCAAAAACCCTAACTCCTATCCCCGTTTCCAGATATGTGATTTGAAAAGCTGTCAAGAGTTCGATGAATGCCGTAAAGTAGCGGAATCTGAAAAGTTTCCAGACACTTTCTCAGGAAAGTGACGGAGAGATTTGAGGTTGGGCCAGAAAATCCTCTCTCAGGAAAAATCGAAATCGCAACCCCGGGGATGAGTAAATTCCGTGGGGGCAGAAAGAGCGAGAACCAGGGGAGCGAGGGGGAGGGATTTGCGTTGATATATGCTGTGTGAGTTTAGGATGGAGAAGAAGTTACCGGAGGTAAAAAGTAAATATATAACATTTACCGCTAGTGAAAAAATTGCAAGGCAATGGTGAACTTGCATCCTTTCTTCTCCAATATATTGTATTATTAAGAACTATGTGCATGATATGTTCCATAGTCAGATTGAAATTATGGAATTTAATTGTTTTAAATTTATATTTTAAGCTTTAATTTGTAATAGAGTTTTTAATTTAAATTCGAAATTCTTTAAATTTAATTGTATAATTTTATTAATACTTATTTGTGTACTCTTTTTAATGAGAAAAAAAGTAATATATATATTAAATTCAAATAAATCTAATCTAGACAGCCCAAATAGAAGACCCTAACTCGACAAATGTAGACTAAGAAAGTTTGATTGAGATTTATACAAAACCATACAAGATCAAAAAGACTTATCACCAAACTTAATGTGTACAATATAAAAGATGGCTCATAACTAGTATGTATAAACACCTTCAATAACCATAATCCTTTAAGTCACCCAAAGACAAAAAGGAGAACCTTCCTTCAGAGCCTCATACGGCTCATCTTCCTCTGAGGTAAAGATGAAGACGAAAAACAAGTCGATGATTTGAAACATGATATAAAGGCTATAACAATCTTGTATAAGATGCAATGCATATGTAATAGTTATTTCTCCTCGTTTGTTTAGAGCTTTTAATCTATTAGAGCAAAAATATATTTGTTTGTGCCTCTGGAACAAATATATAGCCTTAATATGTTGCGTACAATGTGTAACAGCCCAACATTTAATTGAATGGTAATATTGAATTGATAAAGTATTAGTAGAAGCAATTAATAATTTAGAGTTTACATTTCTTATACAGTTTAATCAGAATATCTAATAGGGATACAGAAATATCCCTTGAAGGAAATTAATATAATAGAAAGAAAAATGCAACTAAAAATTTATAGGGTCGACCTCCGTAGCATAATTGTTGAAAAATGGGAGGCAACTTTGAAGTGTTAACTTTTTTGTCGTTCAGGATTCGAGTCTTGGTTGTTCTGATCTGAAATGGTTAAATAAGGAGAATTAACTACACTAACCTAGTATGAATATCAATACTTTACAACCGATACAAAAAATCAAAGATTGATAAAAATCGCAAAACAATCAATGGAGCTATTTCCTTTTTAGGTAAATTCATTTAATTTAAAAAATATTAGTTTCATACTCACCTTTTAGGTTCTCAAATACGACTTGTGAAGATAAGAATCAAGATTAGAAATTCATTAGACATTCTTAGAAACAACAATAATCAAACTCTACCTTTTACTTGCTTGTTGATATTTTTGGGGGTCCAAAGGGATTCCCACTACACATGGACCCGATATCCAATCTCTAAATTAACCGACTGTTTTCATATTCCGTCTGATAATGAGTGTCAAATATTCCATTGCCTCAATACCTCATCCAGTAATGAAGGTAAACAAGTGCTTCCCAACCCCTTCCGATGTGGGACTTCTCAGTCATATTCGACTAAGGTAATGCCCATAGTAGGGTTTGCCCTATGAAACGGGTCCGTACACTCTTTTTCATGACACCATGTAAGGCTTCCACATATATATCATCATCATCAATCAGCCATCCATTACATATAACAATTTTATCTCATAATTACAGGGTAATAGAATGACAATTAAACAGACAATATAATTAGATACTTTAATAACTGAGAAAACCATAGTCAGGTCATTTATTCCAAACTAATCAACAGATAGGGTAAAACCGTTAAATAAATCAATAAACGAGAAGGCAATTAAACTTATGAATTAAAGTGCATACGGTAAACAAACAATAACAGCCTAGCAATAATGAACAGTACATATAAAATAAGCAATTACATACTGACTCCACTGGTGACTTGTATTTAATTAATTGGGGTTACCAATATTCACAAATTATACTGTTTATTATTTATTAAACTTTAATTAACTGTAACAGGAGAAATGATGAATGATTCTTACCTTGGGTCGATATTTGAAATACTGTATTTTTCACTACACTTTTCAGCAGTTCACGAATTTCTTGGATTTTTTCTGTAAAAACTAAAAACACACATCACCTATTCTGAAATATCCAAAAGGCTAGATATAAGGATTTTTAAAGTTTTTGGGTCGATTTAGGGTTCTGGCACGGCGCCGACTCTGCCGCCCACGGCGATGTCTCCTCTTGGCTTGGCCGGTTTCAGCCAGTTTTACTCGATTTTATACGAAAACCTACAAAAAATGAGGTTAGGTAGCCTTTGTTTGCCAGAAAAGGGAAAAATAGAAGCATTACTGGTGGGGAGCTCTTCTGGTGTGGCAGCTCCGTGGTTCCTCTCTCATAGCCAGAGATTCTCTTCAGTCGACCTGCACCAGAAAGGGTTAGGGAAACAATGGTCGAAAGATTGCATGAGATTAAAAATAGGATCGAGCTTGCCGGAGCCATTTTCAGGTCGGGATTGCGACAGTTTGGCAGAGCTCTTCTCTTAATTTTCAGCTTTCCTTTTGGCTTTTTGACCCCGATATAGGTGGGGAGGCTTAAAATCAAATTTTGTAGCGAAAGGGGAAAAAAACTTACCTCCCCAGTGTCATCGGTGGCTCCAATGCAGCAGCGACGACAGTTGATTTTCCTTCTGGTTGCCCTTCTTCTTCTTCTCTAGTGAGGACAGATGCAGTTAGGGTTAGGATTTTCTGGGATGTGATGCTTATATACCTTCTTCTTGTCGATCTGAGTCGTCTGTGTAGGGACACGTGACCCACTCTCCACCGTTAGATCACTCTTATTTAGAAAATTAATCTGGGCCGCACGATCTGATTAAATCTAACCATAAGATCACGCCTAGAGAGAAAATGAATTTAAGCTGTCTGTGCTCACGGGAAGAGATCTACATCGTTGGATCCGTTAGCACATAGATCGCTCGCGTGGCTTCCCGCGTGAACGCATGTCTACGTGTCTGCCACACGGCCTACGGCAACGGCTGCGCTGCTCACGTGGCCAAATTTTGTTATTTTTACTTTTAACTTAATTTTTCAAATTTATTTTTAAATTGGTTCCTCTTTATTTCTACATTGACCTTAATTTTTGAAAGTATTTTTAAATACATTCAAAATACAATTTTCTTTAAAATTTCAATTAAAAATTAAAAATAAATTTTTCTGATTTATTTTTTCCCCGATGTGGGTGTAGAGAGTCTTAAAATCAAATTCTGAAGCGAAAGGGGAAAAAAACTTACCTCCCCAGTGTCAGCGGTCGGTTTTCCTTCTGGCCGCCCTTATTTTTCTTCTCCGGTGAGGACAAGTGTAGCTATGGTTAGAGTTTTATGGGATGCGATGCTTGTATACCTTCTCTGCGTCGATTTGGGCCGTCCATGCAAAGACACGTGACCCACTCTCCATCGTTGGATCGCTCTTATTTGAAAAATTAATCTGGACCCCACAATCTGATTAAATCTAGCCATATGATCGCGTCTGGAGAGGAAACATATTTGGGTCGTTCGTGCGCCCTGGAGGATATCTAGGTCGTTGGATCTGTTGGCACACAAATCGCCCGCGTGGCTTCCTGCGTGGACGCGTGTCCACGTATCTTCCACGCAGAACATGATGACTGGTCGCGCTGCTCGCGTGGCCAAAATTTGTTATATTTACTGTTACCCCAATTTTTTAGATTTATTTTCAAATCAATCCTCCTTTATTTCTACTTTAACCTTGATTTTTGAAAATATTTTCAAATACATCTAAAACAATATTTTCTTCATAATTTTAATTAAAAATCAAAAATAAATTTTTCTAATTTATTTTATTATTAAGATTTAATTATACTGGGCCTAAATTTCGAGCCCGCCTGGGTGTTACACAATGTCAATAATTAAGATCTTGCTTTTAATATATTGTAACACCCAAGCCCAAAATTTAGGCTCAGGATATTTTAATAATAATAAAGAAATAAATTAAAAAATTTTAATTTTAATTTTTTTGTTGAATTTTTAGAAAAAATTATGTTTTGGATGCAGTTGAAAATATTTTCAAAAATCGGGGTCAAAGTAGAAATAAGAGAGGATCTATTTGAAAAAAATTTAAAAAAAATGGGATTAAAGTACAAATAATGAAACTTCGTCCACGTGGACCGCCACGTCAACAGCGCGGCCGGTCACTGTGCACTGCGTGGCCGACACGTGGGCACACGTCCACACGGGCAATTCATGTGCCAGCAGATCCAACAATAAAGACCTGGAGCTTAAAGGACATCAATTTGTATTTTAAATGCAGAAGCCAATAATAATATTATGGTTTAAATTTCTTACACAGTAAATTAGAACGCTCAATAGGGATACGGGGAATGTTCCTTCTACAACAGTTCATAAAAAAGAAACGAAATAAATGATTAAAACAAGTAAATAAAATATTCTAGATATTAACCCTCCCAGTAGCACTTGATAAGGTCCAAAAGGTAATCTACTCACAACTCTTCTGCTGATCAAGATCTAGATCTTAGTTTTCTTGATTTGAAATGGTTAATAGATGGGTGAGCTATACTACCCATGTAAGAATATCACGCTAATCACTGATACGGAAAATTGAATGTTGGTAAAAATCATAAACAACTAATGAAACCTTTAATTTAAGTAAATTCATTTAATATAAAGAAAATTGTTCATTCCGTACTTACTGTTATGGGTTTTCCAAAAAAATATATGAAGACAATAAATTCGAATATCATTCTTATGACACATTTACGTGAACAATAACAGTAAACTCATTTCATTCCCTACTGATTGGTACCTCTGAAAATTTAAAGGGATATTCTCCCTACTCGTAAACTTAATATATAGATTTGTCAACTAACCCGACCGTCACCAAACTTCGTCCAGTAATGGGCGCCAAACACACCATCACCTCAATACTACATCTGGTATGAGGGTGAACCATATCTCCCAAACCCTTCCGATATGGG